CATTAAGCGGTTGGCCGTATAAATCATTTTATTATTGAAAAGTTTTTATTTTGTTAATAAAAATACAAAATAATAATGATTTATATAATCTAGAAATTTTACATTGTTAAGTAAATGAAGAAAGACACTTCACTTTATCCAAATCGCGAGATTTTTCCTTGAGAGAAGATTTTTTCGAGACATACTATAGTCGAAAACGCTCACAATTGCGTTTAAATTGATGGTAAAACTGAAATTAATGTAGTCGAGTTAGGAAAACAAAGTTATAAGTTTATCACTTTATATTTATTTATGTATTTTTCGTATTGCTCTCGATATCATTCCTATACATTTAATTAAACTCATAACAAAATTTCATTCAAGTTTAAAAGTTAATTATTTTTATTACTTTTGATTAACACAATTTCATAGACACGACGAAACCTAATTATATTAGTTGATAATAAAAGCATGTTGAATACATTGTTGAAAACACATTTTTTAATTCTAAGGTAAAATAAATATCGTGCACATAAACCAAACCTAGTGGTCCATATTATGCTGTTTCTTTTATAATTTTGTTATTGTACGTTGGATTTGAGGACCAGAATATTTCGCCCGTATTACGCGGATGACCATACCGGTTAGGTGCTCACATTAGTCGGAGTTCACTGAATTGGTGTTGTCAGATTAATTACCGATCAAAATAAAGTTATTTAAATTACAATTACTCTAATAGGAATAATTTTTCTGTGTTCAGTTCAAGATTTATTATTCTTCCTAAAGTTGTAACTATAAAATTAGTTTTTCGATCTACACATCGTTATATAATTTCTTCTATGTTCAATCTAAAATATATATATATATATATATATACAGATACAGTAACTAGAGTCGCGTTCAGCATGTTCGTTACTCGCATATGTTGTCATCGAATAATTACGATTTTTTTTTTTTTTACATAACTAATGGCTCACTAATATCAAGTCATATAAAATCATTTAAAGCAATGTTTACCATCGATTGTATCTATTAAATATTAATAGCCCATAATACTATTATGTTTATTTTCCATTAATTATTATAATCTTATCGGTGCGATAGCTTTTTTACGGTCTCGTAGTTTCAGGCAAGACCAGAAACCGGCTTTTGCGTGGTCCGCGGCGGAGTAGATACGCCTTCATTAAAACGTATTACCAATGCTACCATCCAACTGCCATTAATCTCCATTTAGTTGTAATTTGTAAGGCCTACCCCGGCAGACTTACGCGCTAGACAGCCGAAGACCGAATTCGATTTAACATTATGAAATTCGCAGTGGAAAGTTTTCAAACATCCTATCCGTATCTGCAGTGGCCATAATGAGAACTTATCACAATTTTGTTGTTAATATTTTTCGAATAATTTCAAAATAAAATTATTTAAATTTTCAGTCCAAAGCCTTCGTCGTTTATGTAATTGTATTGCTAGTCGAAGATTATCAAATCATAATCCATATTGTGTTACTATGAAATGTGAGTTAGAATTAATTTAAATATCAATATAACTTTCGTATAATTACTTTATACATTTTAACTCAGGCTGGTTTATGCTAGATGGCATGAATTGGAGTTTTACCTGTTTTTTTTAATGTATTTAAAAACAAAAGTACCGAAAATGTGTTAATATTTTTTTTCCACTCAGACCATACAACCCAGATGTATTATGCACCCCGTGGATCGATAAATTAATTAGACCAACGTGACAAATATATTATCTTAATGTTTTGAATAGAAATTAAAATAAACTCTCGTATACAACATCTGAGCGTTTTAAAATTATTATGAAAGTATATATAACGATTTCTCCCTCCGATAAATAAAATTATATGTGCTCACTGTATAGTGTGACCAGCTGCCGTACAGTATAAAAGTTGCATTCATCTATTGAGGTAAAAGTGTTGTGTCCAAAAAAATTAAATTGTATGGCTATAATAATCGGCGAGGGCTGCAAATGAATAGGCGTAAATCATATTTTTTCCCTGCATTATTATGCATAGTTAACTGTTTATATTTTGTTTAATTAAATTCCTTATACTTCTGAGTTTAAATAACATTATGGGAATATTTTGGTTGCAGTCCATCCCAACCCTTAAATACAGCACCGGTATCTAAGGAAAAAAGTAGTGTAATCACGGTTGAACAGTTTTATGTTTTTTATGTTTTTTTTGTGTTAAGTATCGAATTTCTCATACAATCTTCTATTTTTTTTTTTTATACTTTAAAATAGCGTTGAGTCGATATGAAATTTCCATAATTGTATGGTTCCAATATTAACGATTTACTTATTTATTTATTTACGATTATTTACGCATGAAACGTAATTGCCAATTGACACTTATAACTTTAATAAGTAAAATATTTAATGTTAATGTATACATACATCATTGTACAATATAACCCAATCATAGTACTCTAAGAACTGATTATAATAGTATATTATATGTTGTGATTTCAATGATTTAAAAATGCATTATTGGTACCACTGATGCCTTGTATAATTTGTGTTAAAATGAAAACGATGATCGTCAGATTTAAATTGGTAATTTAATGTATATACCATTTTCTTTATTATATTTCTTACTGCCCAAGGATTACTATACATACCTATTTTAGTATTTACATTTTTTGGTCATATGTATATATATCTATATAGATTATTTTTCATTTAAGATAAAATATATTAATTGCGGGGTGAAACTTACGTAATTCAATTATGTGACTGAGTGTGAAATGTTTTAAATTTAAAATACAGTATAAAATGATGTGTTATTGTAATGTTTTAAGTAATGATGTATAGGCTTATTACTAAGTGTATTAGTATACTTTTCGCTGAGTGTAATTGTTATCGAATGTTAAATATTCCTGAGACTGGGCATTAACGAATTAAAAGTTAAAATTAAGTTAAAACCTTAAGTTAATTAATTCGTTAATTTTTTTACAAATTAACTTAATAAGTTACTTTTTTTTTTAATATTAACATGTAAACTTTAAGTTAATTTTATTTAAAAGTATCTAAATTAAATTAATTTTAGTGTAAAGAATAATGCAAATTATTAAATGACGTTTTTAGTATATTTATAATTTACTATTTTAATATGAATTTCCTGTAGACGAAAATAATATGAAAAATAACTTTAACAGTCATTATATGGGTTATATTTTATCATTATATTTTTATAATATTGTTATTGTATAAACACTATAAACCCATGGAAATCCTTAGAATATTCTGTGAAAATAGTAAATACCATGAGAGCGAGTGTCGATGGGGGATTAATAACAAAACAACTGTGGTATAATTTCTAATTTAATTTCATTATTCAACTAGCATGTGTACTGTTCACATCTCGTTAGAATTTATAATATATTGTTATTAGCTTATTACTTTATTAGCTTATTATATTTCTGTGAAAGTTTATTATTTTTGATTTTTAGTTTTTTGATAGATAATTAATACTAACACCCAGTTATTTTCTCGAGCGTAAAAAAACTAATATTATGTGTGCAATTTTTTATTTTTGTAAATTAGAAAATTTTAATTTTCAACTAAGTAAAGTTACTTTTTTTTCAAAGTTAACTTTTAACTTAACGAGTTAACGAAAAAAATATAAGTCATTTTTAATTTAACTTAACTTTATTATTTTAAAATAACTTAACGAGTTAAAAAAATACGTTAACTTGCACAGTCATGTATGTTCAGTTAATCAGTAACCTATAATCAGTTAATACTCCATGTCAATTATATTGCATAATAGCAACGACGAATAAAGCTACACTCACATATGGATAGATATACTGTAGGGGTTTAAAATTAAATTAAACCATTTAATTTAATAATGTACATCACATTACATCAGGTATTCGGGAAATCGGTATATTGTATATATGTATATATGTATCGGTATTCATTAATAAATATTGTAATAAAAAATTAAAATTAGGTCTGGCTAAATGTTTTGTTCATTTTTTAAGTTTTTTTTTTTCATATCGATTCTTTTATGAATTTTATTGCATTTTATCAAGATTTTTTATTCTTAATTATTCAACAGCGTTGTGTGTCGATATTTTAGATTAATATATAATATAGCACCGATGTATTTTACCAAAAATGTTGGTAGGTATTTTTAATAAAACAATAGCATTTACTTTATATATATAAAGTATTTCATTTGTAGACCATCAGATGCTACCCTTACAGTAAGAGCGAGTTCAGTCACATTTTATTAGTCTAGATTCTTGACCAGCGGTACCCATTACGCGGTCCTTAACCAAGTTTTGTATGGTCTGCACTATAACTAAATTTACATTTTAAAATTAAAAATTAAATAGAGTAAATAAAATAAAATACTTATTTTGTTGTTGTTGGTGTTATGTTATATGCAATACATTTTATTTATGATATCTTATTATTCTGGTTTATTTCATCTACTTTTTATTCAATATAATGTTATTATAAATGTACAAGATACTATTCTAATAAATTTAATAGCTTTTATGAATTACAAATTGCAATATGATTGTAAATTATTAAGTTATAATTAATACATTTTGATCTTTTTTAATCATTACCATTAAATATATATGACCACAAGTAATTTTCAAAGTTATTATTTGGCCCTTTAAAAAACCCTAGTGGGAAATGCTGGTCCAGGCAGACTGCATAGTCCAGAAAAAAAATCTAGCATTCGTTGTAGTTTCGAACCGACGAGTATATAACGTACTTCTGCAAATCACTCCGCGAAAAACTATTTGAATCGTAATATTACCTGCAAGGATTGCAATTAAATATGAATCCGAGTGGCGATTGTTTGTGTATGGTAAATATATGGATTGAACGCTACTAGAATTTAAATATTAATGTTTTGCAGAAGTTTTCGTGTTTCACAAAACTTTTACTTACAACTCGACGACCCCATTTCCGGGGTATAACGAGTCTCGTTTATACAACAGTTCGTAATCTTACATGACGTGTTGTTGCAGGACATTGGCAAGTGCGTTTGGCGCTCAAGTGATTTGCAACAGGATGGTCGGACTGACGGCGGATCAACGGAGGATTTGCGCAGCTGCGCCCGACGCGATGGGCGCCGTCGGCCACGGCATACGCATAGCCAAACATGAATGCCAACAGCAGTTTAGCACCCATCGGTGGAACTGTACGGGGCCGACGAAGGGTAATGCACTCGGACACTTACAGATCACCGGTAAGTCACCTATCTACAGAACGATTACAATAATGTATTATTTATGGATTTATTGGTTTGAGAGGGGAGGGGGAGGTCAATTTAAGATTTTGATGTTCAAATACGATGAGAATGAGTAAATTTTCATTCGATTACGTCGTAGTCTTTTGGACGGACGAACTTGAGTTATCGAATTTTTCGAGCGAATCGAAAATCATACTGGAGGTTTTTTCTCTCATTTCAAGGAGACTGATGCAGGTTACATTGGATTAACCATTTTCCCTTCCTTGTAAATTCTCGTCTTTGATAGTTTGTTGAAAACTCACACAGGAGTGGATATATATGCTTACCACTTTCGCACAAGGATTTGACGTGTATACAACTGTTTTGTAATGATTTCTGTCTGTACATCGATGGATTGCGTGAAATTGGGAAATTATATATTAGGCTGATCTGCGATCCGAACTCAACATCATCCTCGTTTTTGCATCCAATGTATTTTCGAGTCCGTTGATTAAACAACGATCGCCGTCCTTCGATACGGAAACGCATGTCTGCTGTATGGGTGATTTGGATAGGCACGTGTTAGCTCTTGAGTGGAACGTAATGTGTAAGTCCCAGATAAATAAACCGAACTTCATATATTTTACTAATTCAAATTTTAAATAATAATACTTTTTTCTATATTTATCGTTAGATAATCACAAAAATCCGCCCTAAATACACCCTTGCATAAGTGTGACTTTTTAACTGGTCCAAACAGGGTTCGTTTGCAAACAATCGGCTTTAGATTACCGCACGAGTCCGTATTTTTACGTATACCGGTGATTCCGATCGACCATGTGCCATGCGCATCGAAAACGAAGACCGTAATACGGAACACTTCGTGCGATTTGTATCCGTTTTAAGTATTTACGCGAATTTGTTTACTTGAAGAAACCACTAGTACCATCCGACTTCAACGTTTCGACGTACAATAGCAATTCGATGCCGACCGACTCGAATCGCCAACTTAATGTATTCGTATTTTATAAATTATGATTCAGAACTATTTTAAGTTAATAATATTATCTTCAGCTCGAATCGATTCGTGCCTACAATAAATATGCATAGTAAGTGTACAACACGCAAGATATCCAACCGGGGATGCAGGATAATTAGGCCATCGTCAGAAGGACGTACAACGTGATCGGAAATGGTATACCCGTAGCTACCTGCGTTCGAGGCTAAATGCACACTTTAATATGTACGTGCGCGCGTGTGTGTGTGTGTGCGTATGTGCTACGTCGTGCTATCGATTACATTATAATATTATATATTCAGTAGTGGCATACGTAGTCGGTCGGCGGTTAGCTTAAAGAGATTGGCCGGTGGCACGTCTTTGAAATGTAAATACTTCGACGTGTACCACCATCTGACTGTGGAGTGGATACGAACTCTCACGCAAGATACATGCACGTACAGTTTTAATAAAACGTTTATTACCGCAATCCAAATAGTATTATATTAAATCCATTAAAATAAACGGTCGGAGTAACTCGGGGAATATGCGTGCATCACTACAACACCATCCCGTTGGGGGTCACGTCGGAGATCGAAATAATTATATGCGAGTTAGAAATGCCACCCAGATACCGGTCATCGTCGAGTTTGCATTTTTTCTACGTATGAATTCGTTTTCATACGTTATCGAATCAAGAATAATAAGCGTGTTGTGCACGGTGAATTTGAGCAAAATGATTAAAATGTCGTTATTTCGAATCCCTACGATCACGACTTATGAAAGTATTCATTTTTTCGTTTAAATTACGTGTTCATATAACTAAAGAATTCGATTAGTATTATTGAGAACAGAGAATTTACTTCGGGAGATCCCTTTTTTTTTCAAATTTTTTTTCAAGTATTTTAAACATCATGAAAGGATTGTCAAGCTTAAGGATGTGATACGCAAAAAACCATATCAATTTTGGCTATGGATCAGGTTATACGAGTGCGATTTTATGAAGTTTGTTGCGGTCAGTAATTATGTTATATTCGACGGAAATGTATTTAGTGTTATAACAGATCTAAACGACGTGCTTGATTTAAAACATAACTGGGCGAGGATTGTATTTGAAAATCATTACGACGCTTATTCCGAAAACCATCTCGAGTGAAAAAAGCATAAATAGATTTTCGTTTGATTATGACAAAAAATATGTAGAAACCTTTGGTTACGATGAGTTAACAACTGTGGCCAAGACGTAGCGTACGGGGCTATGTAAACGATTGTCACGATTGATTCACGTGTTCAGTGATTTTGGTACGCACATGTGACTCGAACCACTTATAAAATGCTTTAGCGTTGCTAGTTGGAACTCAAAAAAATATGCACTGATTCATTACATAGGCAGAACTAGGGAGGTTAGGGAGCTTAGCCCTGCCCGGATCAAAATTTAGCTTCCCCATAAATATTCTATATTATACATGACATACCGCATACAACATACTTTACTCACTAGTATCACATATAAAAAAAGACAAATTGCAGTAAATTCAACCTGGTTCAGAATCTAAAATATATTAACATGGTATATAAGGGTAGAGGTAATTTGCGGGTTATTTTAAGTTTTGGTAGGAGGGCTGTAGTCCTCCAAATTTTTTTACCCTAGTTGCGCCTATGTACATTGTCCGTTTTACAACGTTGAAGTCACCGAAGATTAAATGTGAATAGAAATATCGGACGGTTCGACTGTAATCCAAAGTGGAAACGCAGGAACAATTGGAATAACGTCGTTGGTTCATCATTCATGAAATCAATACGCATGAATAATATACCGTCTCGTCGGTTCTATCGTTTGGAATCAAACGAAGTGCGTCACGATGATGATAACGGTCGTGGAAACAATTTCGACGGAAGGATGGCGACGGAAGTGTTCGCGAAACAATATAGCGTTCCGATGGTATCGGGTCACTTCCACGTCACCTTTTCTCCGTCCAATACAGTACAACAAAATATAATATAAACATAATAAAATGTTCAATAACAATAATAAAAAAAATAATTCATCATAATAATTGACGTCAGGTAAACAGTTAACTGTTTTACATTTAAGGCAAAGTCACCATTTGAAATATAATTTTCTCGTACTTCAGGGACACGCTGTATTTTTTTCTCCATACACATTGTCCGAAATGAAAAAATTCGCCCCTTATTTGGACGTCCTTGAAAACTTTAATAGATGATTTATATTGGATAAAATCTTTAAGAATAAATATGTATCTAAGTTAATTTATCCATACCAATACAGGATGAACGTATAAGCTATATAAACATATTATACAGCGTAGAATGAAAATAAATTGTTTTTTACTATCGTTATTTGTTATATCTTATATCCCTCTTTTGACGAGAAAATGTCTGACAGAAACCTGTCCGTGACTCGTTCCGATAGCGCGTCATATTATACACGTCCCTCGTCGCGCGTAAGACTGATCTATACGTGACGGTATATGCCTATCTGTCCACATAAAATGTTCGGCTACCTATCGTGTTGTGTTATTATAGACACTAATATGATGTATTAGATCTTCGTGCCGGCAAAACCGCGTCCGTTAATTTATATAATACTGCTGTACGAAGATCTCGCGAGAAAACAGGGTAATCGAAAACAATTTACTATAACGATGGTAAGCCCACTCCACTTGCTCGCGCGAACCCCGAGAAATGCTGACAACAACAATATTAACTATTATCGAACCGTAACCGTATAATAATGTGGTGAGAGGTGTTTGATTTATCGACCGAGGAATGTGGTGTATATGAATGCAGTATAATGCGAAGTTTTAATCATTTTCGTCGTATTGTATAGGTGATAATTTTATACACTTCCAAATATTTTGAGTTTCTGTTAATTACATACTATTACGTAAATGTAAAAAATAGATTTGTGAGTATCGAAAGGCCAATTTATTATAGTACAGAATAAATAATGAGAACAATGTAATTGTTTAATTTTTTTTTTTAATTTCACAACCATGTCAGTGCAGATACTTAAAAACAGCATTATGTGTGTGTGTGTGTGTGTGTGTGTGTGTGCTAGGGCGTTTATTAATATGCATACCATAACTTAATCTCATAAAATACACCTACTTGTGTGTTGATATTTTAGCGAGCGCCGAGTGTAATAAACAACGCGTTTGACATTGGGTTATAATTTCTAATTGTAATTTCTAATTAGCTCATTAAATTATTATAATCGTTCGTATTATTCGCGATTATTGTAGTCGGGGTTACAAACGGTACTATTATTACTCGTCATTGATATCTGGCAATGCGAAGAACACGAGCGCGCACGCCTTAAACCCGTGACCGAGTTTGGTCCGGTTCATGTCTCTCAAATAAGTAAACAAAAAAATCCCACTGGCACCATCAAATTATTAAAATATCACAACGCGATTTTCACCTGGCAGTATGTCGTTCTATTCCGATGCCGTTGAACACATTATGCAGTGTGATAGCACCTCATTCGTTCTATAATCCGATGGGCCTTGGACTCTTACACGCCGCGCCGTGGACGTAAACTTTTTGACGGCACTATTGTAACGCAAACCGTGTGTGTGTGGTACAACGTTTTCTTCTCCTTTTGGCTTTTACAACTCTCTAAGAATCTTAGCTGCCAATACAACCTCGCGCCACCTATCTCTGTCAAGCATAATTTCTCTTCATGCGTCTATTCCCATATTTTTTAGATTTTCTTCGACAACATTGATCCATCTTTTTCTGGGTTTTCCCCGGGGTCTCTTTCCGTGTGGTTTCCATTCTAGTGCTAGTATAGCAGTATCGGTATTTAGTTTAGCGTGGTACAATATTCACCGAAAATCCGATACAGAGTTTTGCAAATGATCCGAGATGTGTATTTAGTAGCATATTTTTGGGATGTTCTCGGTTCTTCGACCTCCCAGAAGAAAAAAAATTTATGGTTTAGCGATGTTATCATAAATTAAAAATACAATTGAGAAAATTATTGATAAACTGGCAA